TTGATTTGTAATCCTAGTTAATATTAAAATACAACTGTTAATTGAATACCATTTCTTTGTTAGTTGGTTTCACACTAAATTCTTTTGCGTATAGGTTTCTGGGTTAATTTATTGTTTAGGAAGTCGACACGTAACAATGCCTATAAAATTATGCACTCATAAGCTTGGTTAAATGGGTATTAGCCAGCTGTGGTAGCGATGTCAGGGTAATAGTAGTCCTAGACAGAGTCTGCAGTGAAGGTCCAAGACGTACACCTGCCTACAGGACGAACACCTGCCTACAGGACGAACACCTGCCTACAGGACGACTACTGGTCACTCAAGTCTCAAGGCGTCCAGTAGAACGTTACGCGGCTCCAGCTACAACTACTAATGCCTGAATTGTTTAAGAACAAATCCTTCGACTACCAAAAACTGAAACGTGAAAAACATATAAATTAATATTTGTTTATTCTGCCAATCAGAATTAAGTAAAATGTTATAAAACAACTCTTTTACTGTCGTTATCAATATATGTAAATCATTTAAACACAATAAACAAAATCCATTGAAAACACAAAAGATTATGACGAATCGTGACTGGAAATAATACAATATTTGCATTTTAGAGAGCAAGTCCATATTTGACAGTCAGATAACGACATCCTCCGTCTCGACTGGTGTTTTCAACATAGAAGCTGGTCCAATCCTCAGCGGCCAAATGCGATGTTCAGCGATTAATCTCTCCACATTTGACAAAAACTGTCATGAAATGTATATATGTTGTTTTGGAACAATTGGTTTGTTCTCTCCAAATAATGAGTGAGTGAGTTCGGTTTTAATGCCGCTTTTAACATTGTTCCAGGTATATCACGGCGTGTCAGCTTGTGTGAGGAAAGCCCGAAGTGATGTAGGTCTCAGACCTTAACCACTTCGGTGAAACCCACGAGCACGGGTATGGTGCTGACAGACCTAGAAACATAATCGGGGTGAACCGGGATTGGAACCCACAATCATAGGTTTCTGGCGTGCCAAAGGGACGCAACTCAGCAAAGCGAATTGCGGCGCCTTAGACGACTGGGCCACCCATGCCCCCTCCAAATATTGAAAGAAGGTGAGGCAGTACAACCTTAACATCAATGCATGACACTTCTTTTATTCTTTGTCACGACGTTTCAGAGCTACTTCTGGCTCCTTCAGGGGCGGTCGGGTAGCCCAGTGGTTAAAGCGTTCGCTCGTCACGCCGAAGACCCGGGTTCGATTCCGACAAGGGTACAAAATGTGAAGCCGATTTCTGGTGTCCCCCGCCGTGATATTGCTGGAATATAGCAAAAAGCGGCGTAAAACCAAACTCACTCACTCCTTCATCAGGTGAAATGCTGACGGAGCAATAAGTAGGTCTGAAACACTTTTACAAAGAACAAAAGAAGATGCTATCCATACGTGTCATGTATTCATGTTCTTCCAACTTCAAAATGCCGATCAAACACTTCAACCTTAATATGATTGATACAAACAATAAATTATAGACTCATACAGTGCACATTATGCAGTTAATCCCTGCTCAAGGGTACTCAGTGATATGAAGAAGAGGGTGGTCTTGACTGTTGACCGGAAGCTATTGACATCCACCGGAAGCTCATTCCTGAGCAGCGCCACCTCTGCTCAAGGTTCCGTTTTCATATGTCTTTGTCGGGGCTGTGGCACCGCCATCTGTTGTTGGCATACCTGTTCAGGTTGGCAAAGACCGCCCTTGTGGTCTAGTGGTAGAGCATCCGCCCGGAGAGCGGAAGGCGGTGGTTCGACCCCGGCCGCGTCATACCAAAGACGACAAAAGATGGTACTTGTTGTTACCCTGTCTGTCGCTCGGCATTATGGGGCTAAAACAAGGACTGTTTGGCTCAGAGTCAGTATACTGTGTCTGAGTGGGGTATTCATGTTAAACTGCGGCATGGTATCTCAGTGAGCTAGCACTATAAATCGGCATCAGTCCGTACTAGTACAAGCAGCCACACACACACACACACACACACACACACACACACGTGCATGCACGTCTCTATATAAGTGCAATAATCTTGGATGCGACGTTAAACCCAATTTCATCTCACCTTATTTCATCATGGTGGACAGTTGGGAGGTTAGTGCTTGGTCGTCGTTCCAGGCGTACTGTTTGTGCTTTCAAAGTCTCGGAATCTCAAACCGACTTGGTAGCTCGCAGTATCTGTGTCTTCAGCTTGACGGGTATCATGGCCGACATACCTGGCACATTGCTGGAACTGGTTACAGAAATGTTTTCCAGTCGTCCATCTTCAGGGACGTGGGTTTCTTTTCTGCTTAAGGAGTCAGCATTTCTATTCTTCTTTCCCGATCAGTGCCGAATGACAAGGTTAAACTGTGCCAGTTCTCCAATCCATCGTGTTTCAGTCACACCTAACTTTGCAGTCGTCTGCACATAGCTTAACAGGTCATTGTCTGTGTAGACGATACATTCAGATGATACTTGTTGTTACCCTGTCTGTCACTCGACATTAAGGGGCTAAAACTAGGACTGGTCGGTTCTTAGTCAGTATACTGTGTCTGAGTGGGGTATTCATATTAAAGGGCGGCATGGTATCTCAGTGAGCCAGCACTATAAATCGACATCAGTCCGGACTAGTACAAGCGCGCGCACACACACACACACACACACACACACACACACACACACACACACACACACACAAAACAAAAAACAAAAAACAAAAAAACAACAACAAAAAACAACAACAACAAAACAAAAAAACCTCGTGCATGCACGTCTCTATATAAGTGCAATAGTCTTGGATGCGACGTTAATCCCAATTTCATCTCACCTTATTTCATCATGGTGGACAGTTGGGAGGTTAGTGCTTGGTCGTCGTTCCAGGCGTACTGTTTGTGCTTTCAAAGACTCGGAATCTCAAACCGACTTGGTAGCTCACAGTGTGTCTTCAGCTTGACGGGTATCATGGTCGACATAACTGGCACATTGCTGTAACTGGTTACAGAAATGTTTTCCAGTCTTCCATCTTCAGGGACGTGAGTTTCTTTTCTGCTTAACGAGTCGGCATTTCTATTCTACTTTTCCGATCAGTGCCGAATGACAAGGTTAAACTGTGTCAGTTCTCCAATCCATCGTGTTTCAGTCACACCTAACTTTGCAGTCGTCTGCACATAGCTTAACAGGTCATTGTCTGTGTAGACGATACATTCAGATGATACTTGTTGTTACCCTGTCTGTCACTCGACATTAAGGGGCTAAAACTAGGACTGGTCGGTTCTGAGTCAGTATATTGTGTCTGAGTGGGGTATTCATATTAAACGGCGGCATGGTATCTCAGTGAGCTAGCACTATAAATCGACATCAGTCCGGACTAGTACAAGCAGCCACACACACACACACACACACACACACACACACATTGCATGTACACTGGAGGCAGACTATTCACAGCTCCATACATGTCACGTCGAAAATCAGATTCAGTTCTCTTCTCTTGGTGTGATCATTGGTGGGAAGATGCATATAAAGTTTTCAGCATCATTTAGCTTCAGATTTATGAGGGATGTAATATTGCTTGAGTTTTCTAATATGGCTGCTGGCAAAAGGGCTTCATAAGGCGTTCATCTCACCCATAAGTATCAGATTTCTGGCTTTTTTTATGTTTTGGAGAAGATTTTATAAACATTTTCTTAAAATCAAAGATTTGGCAGCCATATGGACATTAAAATTTGATGCCTTGAACAAACTTGAACCCCATTATTGTAACAATCATCCACACAAACTTTTGGCTGAGTCCATCAAGCTATTTCTGATATGTTCTGTTTGTTTGTTGTTCAAAGCTGCATTCAGCACTATTTCAGCTATCTGTCGGCAGTCTGTAAAATAATCGAGTCTGGACCAGACAATCTAGTGATTGACATCATGAACATCGATCCAAGCAATTGGGATACGATGACTTGCGAGTCTGACCTCCCGATCCCGTTAGTCGGCTCTTACAACAAGCATAGTCGCTTTTTATAGCAAGCATGGGTTGCTGAAGACCTATTATACCCCGGATCTACACGGGTTCAGAGATATAAAAATGTAACAAGCAAATTGAAGACGATGCTGGACACTGGACAACTTATGACCAGGTGAGCTAACAATGCAAGGCTACCATCATGAGTCCCCCCAAATTCCTCTGACCTTGCCTTGATCTCAGATCTTAAAGGCAGGAGGAAGATCTGTTAATAGGTGACAGACCGAAAAAACAATAGGTTTCATGTGAAAAGATCTGATGTGAATATATGCGAATAGGTGATGTGAACCTACAACGCTTTCCACACCTGAACAAGTATTTCGATCTGCAGGGGGCACGGGTGGCCCAGTCGTCTAAGGCGCCAACTGTAAATCATCAGTGTGCCAGGTATTTGGCCATCCTGTCTGTGAAAAAGATGGCTAACGCACCACAGAAAGATTGATTGGTTGGTTTGTTATTTTACGCAGCGCTCAGCAATATTCCAGCTATATGACGGCGGTCTGTAATATAATCGAGTCTGGACCAGACAATCCAGTGATTGACATCATGAGCATCGATCAAAGCAATTGGGATCGATGACATGCTTCAACCAAGTCAGCGAGCCTGACCACCCGATCCCGACCACCCGATCCCGTCAGTCGCCTCTTACGACAAGCCTAGTTGCCTTTTACGGCAAGCATGGGTTGCTGAAGACCTTTTCTACCCCGGATCTTCCACAGATAAGAGCATATGCAAGTATCGTGATGTATATCAGATCGTGAGTAAGGTATCATGATACGTATCGGATCGCACAGTTGGTGTATCGTCCCAGCCCTACTGCCGGACACTGGACAACCTGTGACAACATAAGCTCTTCAGGCCAGGTGGGCTAATATTGCGAAGGCTATCAACATGATCAACATTCCTCTGACCTGGGTTTGATCTCAGATCTTAAAGGCAGTAGGAAGGTCCTGCTAACATCTGACAGACAACAGCCGATTTACTGAAATATCTTTATTCTTGATTGATGAGAATGTACAATTGAAACAAACAATGATCAACAACAATGACCACTGAAACCAGGTAACCATGGTAACAGTGTCACAGCAAGTTCCCATCTCACGGTTGCCACCTTTTACTGTTTCCATGGTAACAGTGTCACAGCAAGTTCCCATCTCACGGTTGCCACCTTGTACTGTTTCCATGGTAACAGTGTCACAGCAAGTTCACCTCTCAGGGTCTTCTCTTCCTGTTTCCTTGGTAACACTGTAACGGCAATTCACATCTAACAGTCTCCTCCTCGTCATGTTACCATGGTAGCACTGTCACAGCAAGTGTGCATCATTCAGTCCATCTTGTTATTGTTACCTTAGTAACACTGTCACAGCAAGCGGACACCATTCAGTCCTCCCCACTTTCTTTTTGTTACCATGGTAACACTGTCACAGCATGTGCACATCGTTCAGTCCTCCTCTTCTTCATCATCACCAAAAGACAATAAATTAGAGTTTTTCACTTTTTTTGAAGATGACTGTTTATCTTTCTTCTCCCCCTCTTTCTTCTTCTTTCCTGATGTGCTCACCGTCAGTTCCGTGTTAGTTTCCAACTCTGCCGATCTCTTCACAGGTTTCTTAAAGGTGATTTTGCCTTCTGTGGTGATGTCGTCCACACTGGCCACTGAAACAGAAAATCGTATAACTTAGCAATATTAGAGTGAGTCAGTTGGGTTTAGCTTCGCTCTTAACAGTATTCCTGATATTATAACAGAGTCTGTCAGCCTGAAGTCATATAGGTCTAAAACCATGCAAACCTTTACCACTTTGGTGAAACCCATGAGTACGGGTATGGTGCTGACAAACCTAGAATCATCAGGGCAAACTGGAATTCGAACCCACAATCAAAGGTTTAAGGTGCATCCAAAAGACGCAACTCTGCACAGTGAATTGGGGCACCTTAGACGACATCAAAATTGGAGCTCTATGCCAGGGTATGAAACTCCCAAAAATTTCAGCCAGACCACAGGACTGGCTAGCTGAAATACTTGCCAGCCCTGACCAAAACCTGGCTGCCCACTATAATCATATGTTTCTCAGGATAAGCTAACAGGGTTTCTTTTTGGTTACATTTTATCATTCATCTTTACATGTGAATTAATGCTTATCATCGGGAAATATTTTGAATATTTTCACATATGAAATATAACCCGACCGTCGGGCAGGGGGATTTGAAAATATGGCAGCCCGAGTTGAAATCAACCTGTCTCGGACGGTCGGGCAGGCAGGTATTTCGAACACTGTCTATGCTGATATCACTGCTTGTATTTTTGTAAATACTTTTGTTTGTCTGGACCAGAAAATTCAGTGAGTGATTTAATGAGCAACCATCCATACTGTCGGGATACGAAGACACACAATTAACAAAAACCGCAAATATGATGATCATTATGCCTCTTACAACCAGCATCTCTTGCTGGGGACCTATTCAAATTAAGAATCCCCACTGGTCTTAAGTAAGTAAGTAAGTGCGCACATGCGTGCGTGCGTGCGTGCGTGTGCTTGTACTAGTCTGGACTAATGCCGGTTTTATAGACCTAGCCCACTGAGATACCATACCGCAGATTAACATGAATACCCCACTCAGACACAGTATAGACTCCAAGCCGGCCAGTCCTTGTTTTAGTCCCTTAATGCCGAGCGCAAGGCAGTGTATCAACAAGTACCATCTTTTAATGACTCTTGGTATGACGTGTCCGAGGATCGAAGACCCGACCTTCTACTCCTCGGGCAGACGTTCTAACAACATTCACTTTAAAGTTTATGAAGGCTTTAAACCGTCCTGTGTTTCGTTACAGTACCTTAGATGTGAACCGTGAAATGTTCGTACCAGACGGCATCTTGTTTTCTAGCAGACAAGTTTATATTCATCATGTGATGGGTCAATATTGGAGGTCAGTGTCAGTCACATGATTTCAAGGTCTACATGGAAATGTTTTGTTTCGTCACATGGTACGGATTAACCAATGGAATTGCAAGATTCTTAGAGAGGTAAAACCACACTCCAGGGCAGTGGTGACTTAGCATAACACCACTGTCACAGGTTAATTTGCATATCATGTGACCATACTTTTCTCTTGTTTGTAAACAAGCACGCTTTTTCAGACATCAGAACAGTACGGACTAATGCAAGTATTGGGGGTGGTTTACATATTGTTTTGCATAATTATATAGGTATGCTGCTATAACTGCGACATTGAGTTGCATGACAATACATATTTACACATCAAAGTGACCGTATCGCTAGCTCTCCGCGGGTCTTCAATGACAGCTCGTGTAGCCGTACAACCAATGGGATAACTACGCAAATGGAAATAATTTTTCATGATTTAGGATGTTTTCTCAGTGAAAGTTAACCATTCTATGACATATGTTTATCTAGATATATAGACGTGTCAAAAATGAAATAGATGAGAACATATGTAATATCTTGAATGGACTGTGAAGGATGTGATGAATCGTCACATGGCACTGGCCTGTGGCAGGGATACTATGCTGGTCACATGGAACTCTGGGTAGGATAGTGAGGTATAACAATTCAGATTCAGATGCAGTTTTTATGAAATGATCAAAAACTACACCTGGGGACAACAACATTGCACAATGGAGGCATGAAACTTGTAGTATCGTATTCAACGTAATAAGCCCCCAGGGCGCTCTCAAAATTAGAAATAGGGGGCCTTATTAGAATAAAATTTTGATGAAAAATAAAACAGTTGAAAGATCGTGAATTTCGTGGTTTATGCTGACAGCCTGAAATGATACAAAAGAAGAATATAATACACGACAGATATATTTTTCCAGAATTTAATTGCCCATAATTAAGGGTGCATATAACACATGAGTGCGTTTTATACACATATAAATAAATCTTGTGCTAATTTGGATTGTTCACTAGCCAATATGTCAGCAAATATCGCTCTGGGCCCTTATTAGAACGGGGTGCTTATTACGCCGAATATGGTGGTAATGATAGTTGATACCGGTTTTCTCGGATTCCTTCTTGGCATGGTCAGCCTGATCTTCTGTGAGATCCCCGTCCTTGAGGACAACAACCACAGGTTTCTCATCCTCCAACTCTGGTGCATCCTCATCCGAGTCCAACTCTGGCTGTTGATACTGGGGAGAGGGAGAGGAAAGTCATGGCATGTCTAAGGGAGAGAACTCTAACCGGTCTAAGGTAAAGGTGGATGTGGGTGCTAACCACTGACAGCAGTGTTAGAAATTGGCACTAGTCCTATAGTCCTTGCCAAACTGCTCAATAGTTAAGGTATCATAAGGACTAGTAAAAAATTGTCATTTTTGAGTGAGTGAGTATGGTTTTACACCGCTTTTAGCAATATTCAAGCATTATCACGACAGTGGATACCAGCAATAGTCTTCACAAACTGTACCCATGTCGGGAATCGAACCCAGGTCTTTGGCGTGAGTTCGAATCCCGGTTTGCCCCGATTATGTTTCTAGGTTTGTCAGCACCATACCCGTGCTTGTGGGTTTCACCAAAGTGGTTAACATCTGAGACCTGCATCACTTCGGGCTTTCCTCCCACATAAAGCTGACCATCCGTGATATTTAACTGGAATACTGTTAAAAGTGGCGTTAAACCCAACTCACTCACTCACTTTGGCGTGACGAGCGAATGCTTTAACCATAAGGCTCCCCGACCGCCCCTCCATTTGTAAGGGTTCACAGAGCAAATATGTTATCATTATAAAGGCTAGTGGGCTAAAACAGTTTCTATCGCTGCTGACAGTGACTTTACAGACGGTTGCACAGTTTGACATCTTGCCCATGGCTATCATTGTTTAATGTCCCCCATGATAATCTCCCCATGATACTGGACAGGTCTGTCAATATAGATAGTTATTTTGTTGTCAATGACATCCTGAATATCTTCATGTCATCACCTGGGCAACTTCATCACAGGGAGGTGAGGTGAAATGGGGTTTGACGTTGCGTTCAAGATTATTGCACTTATATAGTGACGCGCATGCATGTGTGTGTGTGTTCCTCTGCTTGTACCAGTTTGAGACCGACCTTCTGCTCTCCGTGCAGACGTTCCATTTCCTAGACCACAGAAGTAGTCTTCATCCCAGTTGTAAACTAGATCAAGTAATGATATGGTTTTGTGTTTTGAAATATTCCGATACAGTAAAAAATACTCTAAGCATTTTTAGTAAATACAATATCTCCGTGTTATGGGTTTTCGGACGCTAAGAAACAGTTGAAGTGACAAGAACATCCATAAAACATCTCACTCAAATACAAAAGAAACTTTATCTAAAAAAAACAGGCCATCATCTGAGTATTTACAATGTCTGTGTGACGCCACACCCCTCGTAATAGCTGGAGTACTCGCGAGAAACATGGCCGTCCGAAAATGTATGATGTCCGAAAACATATTCATCATCCGACGAGACTAGAAACTTACTCATTTTGAGATTAAACTTTTTCTCTTTTGTGAAACAGTAAAACAATCAAGTTGTCATATGTACCACAGTGGGAATAAACATAGCCTGTAATTGGATTTGAACAAGATAAAGAACGTTTATGTTTTGCAAAAATAAAAAAAAAGTACATTTGGGAAGGATTGGACATTCTCCGAATGCTTTAGGTCACTAGTTAACATGGTTATTTACAGTAGACAATGTTATTGTGTATGTAATATATGTTATCTGCACATATTTGGCACTTATCTAATCTATGCTGGACATGGAGACTAACGTATTCGACGTAATAAGCGCTCGGGGCGCTCTCAAAATTAGAATTTGGGGGCTCTTATTAGAATAATATTTGGTGGAAAAAAAACAGAGTTGAAAGATCATAAATTTCTTGGTTTATGCTGACAGCCTGAAATGATACAAAAGAAAAGTCTGTGCGTATGATACACGACAGATATATTTATTTGCCCATAATTAATGGCGCATATAATATAACACACGAGTGCGTATTATACACGAATAATTAAGTCTTGGGTATATGATTAATCGGAAGGGGTGCTAATTGGGATTGTTCACTAGTCAATATGTTAGCAAATATCGCCGTGGGCGCTTATTACGTCGAATGCGGTAAGTGTTGTTAGATTGTGGATGAGAAAGACATCCAAGTTTCAACAAGAAGTTACACCTTTGTGTTGACAGTGGGTCCCTCTTTGTACCCGATCCTTTCCTTGAATTGTTTTATGAAAGACGGTTCGTCATTCTCGACATATTGTACACCTTTTCTGGGATTTCTGGCACCGCGCCCTGGCATTATCAGCTGGATAAGATGTAAGAAACGTATATAATCGTCGGTCAAGTTCTCGCCATGCGATCAGTAGTATACAAAGGGCGGGTAACTCTAATTACTGACGATTTTATTGTGGTCTACGGGCGCATAACTCTGTCGTCGATTGGTGGGGACTGATATCAGTTTGATTTTCTAGCATGAGCAAATATCAGATCACCGGCTCAGCACAGGGGCAGCTGTTTTGAAAGACTGACTGTTTGTGTATTTGAAATGTTCAGAAGTAAAATAGGACGACTGTGTTATTTTGTGATGCGCCAGAAGAACTCAACAACAAGCGTTAGTATATATAAGCTATATCAGCATATTTATTGAAGTATGTTTTGTATGCTAACATCATGTGCATATCGGGGGGATGTCCCTCTGACTTTTCTGACATGGATCCAGAGCTGACTAATACTAGAATGCAAATACTTGTTCTATATATAAAGATAATATGCGTGGACTCTGATGTTGCTCTGATGTTTGTGTTAATAACAAACTTAGGGCTGGGACGGGTAATTCGGGTCGGGTGTGTCTTGAGTAGGACCTATGGTACCCACAGGACTACCCGGACCCATGGTTAGTCACGTGATATATTATTTAATGACAAAACTTACCTATCTACTATAACTCTAGGTTACACAACAATTCACTAATGTTTGCATTTCTTTTTGACTATGCACGCATAGCTTCTGACTTTCATATGGTTGAATAAAGATTAACCTTCAGACAACTTCAGTGTATGCATGATCAGATTGTTTTATACGTGTACATCTATATACATTTTTCCAATGCTATGGTCAAACGATTCCCATTCAGACATTTTGTACTCAACTCTTGAGACCTACAGGGTAGGGAAGGGTTGGGTTGGGTACCCGGGTAATATATTTCGACTCATCCCAGTCCTAAACAAACTGAATGATAATTTAAAACTTGTCCTCTTTTGTTTCCTGCAGGAAGCAGAGTCAAGATGGCAGCACTAGTACAGCAACTGGCAAGTCTAGCTCAAACATGCTTTGATGAAAAACAAGACACAGTTTCTGAAGAACCTTTCAAAAATGTTTTATCAGCAATGAACACAATCCAAGCGAAACACCTGAACTTTGACCCAAGTACAGTGAAGGTAAATGACAGTGCAGGAGGGGCACCAGTAACATTCATTCATGTATATAAAAATGACATTTTTTCAATGAGGATATTTGTGATCAAACCATCTGGTAGAATCCCTCTGCATGACCACCCAGGGATGTTTGGTCTGTGTAAAGTCATTCACGGTTCAGTTCACTTGAGGAGTTTCAGTGAAGTGGAGGAACAGGGCATTCAAGATACATGTTTTCAGTCGAGAGAAAACCACAGTGTGTTGAAATCTGTACGTCTGCATCAAGACATGATTGTGACCAGTAGCGATGACTGTTGTTTCCTCACCCCTAGGGAAGGGAACTTTCATGAGATTCTGCCAGTACAAGGGATGGCAGCGTTTCTGGATGTCCTGGCTCCGCCTTACAACCCAGGCCGGGACTGTCACTACTATGACGAGCTAGGTAATGATGTATCAGCTTCAGATGCTGCTGATGAGAGTGTTCGATGGCTCAGACAGGTACCCACAGCATCAGATTACTGGTGTGACAGACTGGTTTACAAGGGACCTTCCATTGAATGTTAATAAGAAAAACACTATAACTGTTCTTCCGATGTTGCTGACAAGAGTGTTTTCAGACAATTATTCAGTCTTGTATCTCCGTCTGGCATAATGCTCTCTTGTTCACAACCCAGATTTGACTCAAACTCAACAAACACTTCGTATCAATCAAAACAGTCTTTACTACACCATCGCCAAAGTACAACTGTCGTCTCAACGGCTATCACACTCATACGTCATCAACTTACCAAGTTTTGAATACTTACTCTAGAATGAATGATAGCTCGCGACGAATCCATGGACGTTGCCATGTTAGGTCATGTGACTACACCAGCTCCTTACACGTAATACCAACTCCATGCATTGCATGCAACTTACCACATATAACATAAGCATCAGATTCCAATTGCACCAGAATGGTTTATGAGAAAATAATATTAATAAGGCATCTTACATAGAGCTAAACACGAAACTAGTGTATGCTCAAAGTGTGTACCATTATATCAATAGATGTGCATGCACGCCATATTTCCTTCTCATCTCCCTGGGGAGTATACAACCCAAGCTGCCTGTGAGGTGCTAGAAGATTAAGTCACATTACCGTCATATCCTACCATGTACCAATTCACTGCTGGGTGAACAGAGGCATATTTCAAACAACGTCACTTGCCCAAGGAGACACCGCATGTGCTACATGTGCTTTAGAGTGTCTGTCCCAATTTTATATCAGTTTTCAACATTATTTCACAGATAATCCATAGTTCGGAGTTGTGATTAGGTTTTTATCCCCCGCCACGAAGTGGAAGGGGGATACAGGAATGGAAGCTGTTCATCCGTCCGTCCGTCTGTCCGTCATATTTCATTTCTGCAGCAGGACACAAGAACCATGCCTGGGCACTTCCACACACAACTTCTGAAATATCCTCATTGGATACCTCATCAGGATCATTCACACACAATGTACAAGCTTCTGGAAGAAGGTTCTCGTTCTCGGCTTCTACTGTTTCCACTCTGATTGCATATCAGCCACAAGTGTTCTCGAGTCCAACAGTTCTTTTCTGTGTACAAGTTTCTGATCATCACTGTTGAGAGGACATATGGCATAACCTTGATTTTCTTACCTAGCAACTACAGTGCAGTACGTTGATAGCGAACATGTTTATAACGAACTGACGGATATAACGTATATATACTGCATGCATGCTTATAATGAACTACAGTGGTCCCTTTGAGTTCGTTATAATCGTTGTTTACTGTACTTTGTATGTCTCTGGTTGCCAAATGTCATGGATCTTATGTCTCCCAGCTGGATGATTACTGAGAAATACTCCAACTACATGCTCTGTCTTTCGTATTTTTATCCACTCTTGCTTGCCTTTGAACAGCAGCTTCTTCAGTTGTTTTACTGGCTTGGTTAAAAGCTGCTTGCAACCGCCGATGGTGTTCCTTCACCCAGTCCGACTCTGGTGTCGTCAACTTGGTCTCCTATAACTAGATCAACAGGTAACTTTGGATCTCTCCCAAAGAACAAGTAGGAGGTTGAATACCCTGTGGTAGCATGTGGGGTGCAGTTGTAGGCATAGACCAGCTCTGGCAGTAGTTGTGGCCATCTTTTCTTTTGTGGGAGAAGCAAGGTTCCTAACATGTTATGCCAAGTTCTGTTAAATCTCTCACACTGTGTGTTTCCTTCTGGGTGATGTGGTGTAGTCTTGGTCTTCCTTACACCATATATGTTACACAGCTCGGGAATGATGTTGGATTCAAATGTTTTACCTTGATCACTATGTAATTGACGGGTGACACTGAACTTGACAAACTATTCCTTAACCAAGATCCTGGCAGCAGTCCTTGCAGTCTGATCTCTATCTAGTTGGAAAGGCTTGCATGAATTTAGTGTACACGTCTGTAAGAGTCTGTAAGAACGAGTACATTTTTGAGTCCGTGAGTGCGGTTTCGAACAGTGTATATGTGGGACGGTAATTATGACACAAGGTTGAGTGATGTCAATTCTTGTTTATTTCCATCTCAACGTAGACAATAAGGAAAAACCCCAAGGTGACCCATTCGATAGTTGGGACTATCGGTCCGAAGTAAACATCAGTCACCACTGAAGTTGATTTGCGGTTGGTTATTGAGAAGAAAAGTAAATGCACGAGAGCGATTGTTGTCTGCTGCCTGCTTTGCTAGAGGCTTGGTGCATGTGCCGTGTCTCGTGACGTATGTTGCAAAGATAGTTTTATTATAGAAAGAGGACTTGACTTAACATGGAATTATACTTACAAGAAAGTTAAGTGAAGATTACCAAATATAGTAAGGAAATGTATAATCTGAAAGTTGCAAACTTCCGGATTTCCGCGAAGATTAACGAAGTTTACGTAGCTAATTTGGTCACTTCAAACTCTCTTCACACTCCCCTGCTGAATTAGTTGGCTCTGACAACTAACTATATGCCAATGTTACAAAACTAAAATTGGAAAAATATCTAACTATTACAAAAACAGTTTCAAGCAACATGTTATAACAAACAAACAACTCTGTTACAACATCTCAAAATAATTACAGTGTTCAACTGCACTTGCATAAGCTATGCAAGGCATAACCCATAGGACTTGTTTCCGCATTCTTAAAGCGAGAATATATCTCTAAATTGGAACTGCATACTGAGAACCCATAAACACTGTCTTTCACGGTGAAACAACTTCTACTCTATCTGGTAATTGTAACTAAAACAGTCATGGTCACATCGCGTCTCTTGGCAAGACAGAGGCTGCCAACAACTGAGCTAATAGTAGTTGTGTCCTACTCATATCTGCGATAACATTTGGGTCTACATGTGGCGTTGTCTGTGGAGTAACCTGTATTTCATTAACCACAGAACGAGGCAGGTTGAAGGGGTTAGGATTCTGTCCAGCAGTGGAACGTGTGGACCGTCTAACAGAGGTTTCCATAGTTTCCGGTCTTGATACAGGCCCAGGTTCCTTTGCATTGCTGGCATCAGGACTGGAAGCTTCTGGTATATCTTCAGTCAGGTCTGATATTTCTCGACCAGTTGCTTCTTAGTCTGTCAGTGTGTCACTTGAGGTCACACCAGTTGGTTCAATGACTTGTGCCTGTCTGCTGGTGGCGCTTTGCTCCCCTGCTGTGGATGTGCCACTCGTCTGTCTGGTGAAGTCATTCCTTCCCATGAGATCTTCTGGAGGGTCGTCGACATAGAAGGTACATGACGCTGGTAACCCCTCTTCTTCTGAGCAATCAGTAGGTGTGCATAGTTCTTCCACCTCTTCTTCAGCTCTTTCTACTACGGATGCAGGTGCCAGGTCTTCTACTAATGTCTTGGAATCCAAGATCTCCCTGCGATGGACAGGTTTTTCTTTTTCGCCATTTAGGGACTTGACAAGGTAGATGCTGGGCTCTCTCCTTCCAATAACCTTGTAGGGTTCTGCGTTCCACGCATCCTGAATTTTGTGTCTGCCGTGAAAGTGGTTTCTCAGGAAAACTCTGGCTCCAATTGGTATTTCTCGGTCTACTGCGTTTTTGTTAAGTGTTTTTAGTCTCTTTAACGCTTCTTCTTCTGTCCTTTTACTGGCCTGTTGATATGCGACCTGAAGGCGTTCATGGTGTTTCCGTGATCCACTCAGTTTTTGATGTTTCTTCGGCTTGATTGCCAAGGACAAGATCCAGGGGCAGTTTTGAATCTCTACCAAAGAAGAGATAATATGGCGTGTAACCAGTTGTGGTGTGTAGAGTGCTGTTGTAGGCACATGTGAGTTCTGGAAGCAGTTCGGGCCATTACAACTTCTGTTTGGGTTTCAGTGTCCGAAGCATGTTGTGGAGGGTACGGTTGATTGTTCACACTGAGCATTTCCTTCTGGGTGGTACGGGGTTGTCTTTGTCTTTTTGATGTCATAGGTGCGACAGAGTTCATGGATAATTCTGCTCTCAAAACATCTGCCTTGGTCACTGTGCACACGGTCAGGGACTCCGAATTTGATAAACCATTCTCTCACCAGTATCTTGGCCACGGACTTCGCGGATTGGTCTCTGGTTGGAAACGCTTGGGTGAACTTGGTGAAGATATCAGTTAGAACAAGGTCATCTTCGTAACCGTTTGTTCCTTTTTCCAATACCGTGAAATCCATGGCAAGTATCTCCAACGGTCTCTTTGCAATTATTGAGCCAAAAGTTGGTCTAACTTTGGGTCCATGCTTTCCTAGCATGCATCGTTCGCATTTGTTGCAGTAGTTTCGACTTCTCTAGCCATGTAAGGCCAATAGCATCTGGTTCGGAGAATAGAGTAAGTCCGTTCTGGGCTCTGGTGTCCATTTTCATCGTGACTAGATTTTAATACTCGGGTCAGGAGGGTCTTTGGAACTATGATTTGATTGATGGTCTTGTTGTTCTTGAAGGATCGTCGATACAGCACTCCGTTCAGCATAACCATCTGCTTCCAGCATTTCAAGAGTTTCCTTGCATCTTCTTTCCTCATCATTCGCAAACTTGGCTGTGAACTTTGATCCCAGAAGTGAAGGAATCTTGAAATGACTGAATCTTCTTGCTGTAATTTCCTCATTTCATCAGCTGACACAGATGGTATGTGGGTACTTGGAAGGGGTTCGTCCTGTGCATGAATGGCTTCCACACGTACAACTTGTCTGTCCTCTTTGATTTGAAGCTTAAGGTCTGATGGTAATACAGTTGTAGTGGGTACCATATGCTCTGACATTACGACAACAACTTCCTCGAACCTTGTGGATTCTGTTCCATGTTCGACTTTCCGGCTGAGTAAATCGGCATTCTTGTTCTTCTTCCCAGACCGGTGACAGATTGTCAAATTGAACTGTGCCAGCTCACCAATCCATCTTGTCTCTGTGGCACCAAGCTTTGCCGAAGTTTGAATGTAACTCAGAGGGTCGTTATCTGTGTTAACAGTACACTGAGCACCAAGCAAGAAATCCCTATACTTCTCTGTAACAGCCCATTTCAGTGCGACCAGTTCAAGTTTCATGCTACTGTAATTGGTCATA